ACAAAATACCAGTCTACTAAAACACAGCCAAAACAATTTACTTTGTACAGACCAAAGGTCAGTTTTATGTTATATAAGGTAACACGAGTGTACGTGAGCTACATATTTGTAACTTCTGTATTGTTAGCCAGGCACAGGTGAAATGTCAATATAATAAATGTATAACATTATGAGATTTAAGCTATTTAATCTAAACATTTATGTTCTGATGTTATAATTTATGTTCATTCTAGAATGAGAGGCATAATTTATATTTATTTCCTAATGTTTTATGGTGGTTACAAGATCAGTCAAATCTATCAAACCTGTACAGAGATTCATTACTGAAAATAACAGATAAAATATAGTTTTCTTAAAAAACATTTGATAACAATCTGGATATTATAAAGATTTCGTATATGAAATTTGAATATTTTCTGATGCATAAAAGTATTTTTATGCTTAAAATGAATATTACTTTGCATGTCAGATAAACAACATGCTAAAACAAAGGCATGAGAAAAACATTGCTTTACAAACCTTAAGACTTAATAAAAAATTAGATATTTTGCATATCAAAGCTGGAGGAAGTATTCAAGCGTTTGAAAGCAGCAAACCTCAAATTCCATCCCAAGTAATGTCATTTGTTCCAGAAAGAGGTACTTTACTTAGGCCACATTGTAAGTGAGAATGGTGTGCAAACTGATCCTGATAAGGTGAAAGCAGTGCGTGACTGGCCAACACCAGACAATGTGTTTACTGATAATGTGCCACATTTCGTTAACATTCGCTTACTAATTAAAAAGTTACAGCATGAAAACTATAGCAAGCACAGAATGGTTACGAGGTCAGTCCCAGGGACCGAGCCCACACTGAAAAAGAGTTAATGAATACAGAATAAAAAACAAGAAAATACTATAAGCCCATTTTGTATGTTTAATAAATTATTAATCTTGATAATTCACAGCGCACTGTATTTTGTGTTAAAAACATGAACTTGAAGTCAAAAATGTTTTCATTTTTTTGACTAAAGGTAATTTAATTTGTTGACAATTCTTTCATTAGTACTTTTATCCTGTACTTAGAGATAATTTTTCTTTATGCCAGTTTATTTTCATATTACAAAAGAATACAATCAAGGATTTCTCCGATGATAGGAATTGTGGTTGAAAAAACAAACTACAAAGTTTAACTGGAAAATTACTCATATACAAATTTTAAGTCCTAAATTTCGAGGCTTTTGAGTATCAAGTTATCTTGTATTACTTTGATTTTAGATTTATCATAAAACCAAAAAACTTCAGTAGAAATCAGGTAATTGTGAGAAAAACCAAATAATTTCTTAATGCAGCCATTCAAAAAGTAAGGATTGTAAAAGCTGGTCATATTAATAACTGCAATAAGTAAGTTTGGACTGTTTAAACTCTGCAACAGAGAACACTATTATTTGTCCTGATGAAAATGAATTATACTCTTACTAAGACAACAAAAAGTTATCTTTTACAAAGTGTCAGACAACAATTCTTCTACTACCACTTAAAAGTATTATTTGCAGATTGTTAAATCTTTAGGATGTAATATATATTTTCTTTGTGAGCTCCAATTAGACCTGGGCAATAAAATTGATTACTTATGAGAATTGATTACATCAGCTAGTGTCATGAAATTAATGAACTAGTGTTTCTGATTATTAGCTTTTGATCATTCCAACTATCCAGCAATCAAAATTATGATTAAATCAATTAAGATCATGAAAATTGACAACTAATCAAAATTAGTGTTTCCAATTATTCCAGTCATTAGTAATCAATATTCAGACTAAATCAATTAATGTCATGATTTAATTACATAAAAGTATCTGGAAATTTTTTAAATGAACTCAAACAGAAAATAATAACAGCTTTCAGGTAAAAGTAATATATATGGACTACAGAAATTTTATATTGAGAATAATAATAATGACTTTTGTAAGTTTCAGAAAATATTGCATGAAACTTATTTTGAAGAACTGGTTAAAGAAAAGAAACAAGGTAATCCAGAAATTATCCTAAAAATTATAATAATTTTCTAATTATATGCAACTGTGTACTGTAAAGGCCACATTTCAAAATGGTTATGATGTACCGTAGTGCCTAACATCAGCAAGCTTGAGATTGATCAGTGTTGGCTTGCTACAATTAGTTAGCCAATTAATGCCACTGCAGAAAAAAATCCACAGGAAAATTTGAAGTTCAAGTAAAAACAACAGATATACTTACTTATAAACACCTTAACAAAAAAGAGGGGGGTTTGAGGTAGGTCTAACAAAGAATTCATGAAATAACAAAATGTATGGAAATTCATTTATTAATTCGGTGCTACAATCTCAAGAGAATAACATCAAATAAATAAAATTAATTTTAATTATAAATTGAAGTTACTTTCCAATAAAGAAATTTTAAAGCATAAAAACGTTTTTACTGACACAAATAACAAAAGACATGAATCAGGTTCAACTATGAGCAGAAAACACACAATTGTGTGTGGTGTATTAAACCATTATGAGTGGAAAGAAATTACACTTCACCAAATTAATACACTACACACCATAACAGATGTCATCAAGCAATTTGCTAATATAAATAGCTGGCATGAAAAATCTCTGGTATAGAAAGAAAGGCCTCATCAGTTATGGATAAAGAAGATATAATATGGTTGGAATTTTACTACATATTTCTTTACTTTCACTTAGAAGGTCTCACTAATAACACTATATAATAAATATGTGGTTTCTTTTTTAAAAAAAGCTACTACTGTGCTTCACAATAAGCAGAAACAACTCTGCTTGCATAGTGTCAATCTTATAAATGTTCTTCCCTTTCCATTGACATTGCCCATTAGGCATCCATCAACTTTTTCTTTCTTTACTGGAGAAAATTCAAGCTTAAACTATACAAATGGTAAAGATAAATTATGGAGTCTTAAGTAAAAAATAATCTTGGTAGCATATCTAACAAGTAACATGACAACCAATGCAAAGTACTTCATTCAGATAACAAGTAGTTATGTTACTTTTCTTTTTCAAAACTTATTTTTATATATAATAAATTCATTTCAACAAATTTCATGATCCAAAATATTCATAAGCATACGCACAGAGGCCTAATTGCAATGACACTATATTCACATTTGTGTTATACGTTTGAATTCACTTTTATCCTGGTCAAAAATTGCATTGGCAGATAGCCAAAAACAAACAAACGAAGAATGATTATGTAGGCTTTCCAACTGATTTTACTACTAATAAAGTTATTAGTAGTGTGTAGTAATAAGTAAAAAAAATAAAATCTTTGACACTTCTCTGTTTTTACAAACATTAATAAGACTGTTTCACTTGTCAGTGCCATGCTCGTCTTTAATCCACAAATGAGCTGCATGGCATACTAAGGCTTAGTATCAGGAAAAAATGGGGATAGCAAGACCACAGTTTTAAATCATTTGATTAGTTGTCAAGGCAACTAGCACATGGGGAAGTCCTAAAGAAGGCAATCAGTTAGAACAACAACTAACTTCCACAGTGCAGATTTAGCACTTGCATTAGAAGTACTTTGTCATTGGATGTAATAATAAAATTGAAATCACATACATAACATATAAACCATAACTGTTAATTATAAAATATTTCTTTGAGAATAGGGTGACCATCAGCAGTGTGCTAATGTAGACTGTCAATTCATGCTATTGAGGTTTAGATATATCAATTTCTGCTCAAATCAAGCAATTTTAACTTTTGTGAAAAAGTTTAAAAAAGAAAGAAAAAAAATTTACTTAATAAAAACAAGCTTTGATATTTGAAAAGAAAACATGACAGAAGCTTTGAGCACATAAATACAATATATATATATAATATATACATAAAATACAACAAAATTATAACTAATTTTAGAGAAAAATAATGTGCAGTTTTAATTTCCCAGAAGCAGAAACAACTAGTTACCATTTCCTCCTTGAAATTTAGGTTGAGCTATGAACCTTACCTTTGATACAAGGAACAATAGCTCGTTGCTGAATGGCTGAAGGTTTTTCAAAACCATAAGCATATATACCTCGCAGAAGCTCTTCTCGGAGGTTCATGTCATCGAAGTTGTCAATGACTTGCTCCCAGTTACTCTAGAAATAATTTTATCAATAACTATGATCAGTTTAATCCACAAATCATAATACAGACCTGTTATAATAAAAATAATCTATTTTCAGTTACGCTACAAATGACAATAGTGGTGTTCAGTAGCATATCATATTGTTGCTGTTGTTGTTACTAGCAAACCAAATTTTAAAATATATTTTGTCTTGTTATATACAACTGTTATCCTTTGCTATTATATATTGCAAGTTTGGTATATAGGTATCACTGCTGAAGTTTTTTTAATGCTTACTTACAAACTAAAGCCTAAAAGGTGGTTTATAGAAAACTTAAGAAACACATTTAAACTACTGGTGTGTGCATGTGTTTAGAGTCTGAATGTCAGTACAAATTCAAGTTAAATAATTATGAATTCCCTTTTAGTATTTCTGTACTATAATGTTAAAGGGTTAGCAATTAGTATAAGATCATTATTTTTTCATGCAAACTACATTATACAGAGAGAAACTAAACATAGGTACAACTACACCCGGAATCATTTGCGATACATTACCTCTTAATACCTGTAGGAATTGCGACTTGAGAAAAACTCTATGCCATGAAACATCCACCTACTTCAGCTAATTACATCACATCTACCCAGCTAGTTTTGTATGTGCACTTTCTGTCAACATGTTTATCCTGAAGGGACTTAATATCCAGAATAAAGTTAACTGCAGCGTTTCTGAGTTTCTATTTGCCTTAAGAAAGTTACAAAATCATTTTTAAGCCATTTCTAATGCTTTCAAGCAAGGAAAGTAAAACACACATTGTAGGACCATATATATCCATCACAATGTCAGCAGTATGAACTTAGTACCCCTTCTCTGCTCATCCACATATAACAAAATGTTATTGTACTGCTATCATGCTAACAGCAACACGCACAAAATAACATTTTAAAATTTACCAACTAGTTTCCCAACTTCAGGGGTATTGTCAGAGTGATGAAGAGAATAATGATAGTTATACAAAATGTATCAAAAATACTCTTAGTGTAAATAAAGCTAAAATAGATAAATAATGTAAATTCATAAAACTATTACCTTTCCATACTGTCATTTCTGCTAAATATAGTTGTTTGAAAAGAAACCAGAAAATGCAGTCCTTTTCATTTGATGCATAGGCACAACTGCAAATCTAATTACATGCTATTTGTTGCATACATGAAAGGTCATATTAAGTTACATTAGTTTTATGTACTCCTGAAGAAAGCAGAAATGTATTATACATGAAAATTCATTTGGAAGCATAGTAGTAGATCTTTAATTTGTTGTATCATTCATAAAGCAGAGTGACAAAAGACAATAAATTCGAACATACAATGTTTCAACTTTTTCTTTTTTTTAGTTTGATAAGATTGATAACTCTGCTAATATGGCAAATGTATTCTTAACATTAAATGTTTTCTTGCTATTTCCCTGCCATAAACCATCACTTTAAGCACCCAACTAATTCACATGTGAAAATTCAATGTTTTTTCTCACAAAATGGCCTGAAAATACAAGAAATGATGCTTTTGATAGTCTTGAATTTCATGATTATCTTAGGGGGACACATCTCCAACACTTTAAGTATATTGTGCCCAAATGCACCTCAAACCAACAACATTTCCTTTTTAACTTAGTAGTATTACCCATCTACTCTTAAAGATAATGACAACCCTGGATGAAACTTTAAAAAATGAGATGTTTAAATATTATTTATATATCTTAAATAAACTATTTTTTATTTCCGAATATCTTCATTGTAAGTAAGACATCTTTTAACTCTCTCACTATGGGATTGGCTGATTCAACTGAAAATTGTTAAATTTCATTTGCATAATCTCTAAAACATCCTAAATGAACACCAAACATTTTTTCTCAGCAAAGCTTTATATTTTATTTGCTATTTTCTTTACCATAACTTAATATAAAATACGGATTTCGTAACTATCATAACAAAATACAAAATTAAATCTAAATTACACTTTTTCTTTTTAGTATGACTAAACTGTAACAGGAAACAATTGTTTATCCAAAACAGATTAAAGCTTGTAACAGTATACATCTTTTTAAACTTGAATTTTACTGTTTTATTGCCCTTTGCCCCGTGTCCAACTAATAACTCCACCATACAAGTTGTAAAGCACTCGGTGAATGCGGAGCTCAAGTCCATTGTACTGAATTATGTAATGCACGAGCTGCTCATGAGCATACCTTGTGAGGAATTATAATTATTTTTCATTACCTTACCTAATAAGTTTCTAATATTTCTATTTTAGTTACTTTTACAACAATAAACATACATGAAAAACAAATAATATAATATTTACTCATATCCTTTTTTTTGTTGTCGACTGTCGAGGAAAGTTAAGGCTATTTTTTATACTAATGGTACTAGTTCATGATATTTTTATTTAATTAAACACTGCACCTAAAATCATGGAATAATAGCATGAACAAAGTAAACAATGTCATATAACTATCATAATTTATCTGGTTTTCCGACAATGTGATAAGAGTCTTTAAACATTTAGTTTAAGCTTGTAGATGTGAATACCATAAGAGAAATTTTCAAACTGAAGGGGAATTAGACAATACTCTGTACAGAAAATCATATAATACATCATTTAACAGATTAAAATGTTGGTGTTTGTATTGGGTATAAATAACATAGTATAAAATATCAGAGAGAACTATTGGCAACTGGTGATTAAGAGGATGTGATATGTAGGTGTGGCAAGTGGGTCTGATTTTCTAGTTATATCCTGTGAAAAGCTAAAAAAAAATTAACTAGCTAACCCAAAATAAAAAGAATCTAAAAGGTGGAGTTTACTTTATAAGAAGAGGTCAAATAAAATTGAAGGATATAAAAATTATGCTTTGCCTTACTAACATCTATATTATGAAGAGTAATTTGCATTAAATTATTAACTTCTCAGAGGGGTGGTAAATAAATTACAGAAGAAGGAAGACCAAGAAAACAAATGTCTCAATTCTCATACTAGTGCAGATTGAGGATTTTTTAAAAAATAGTTCCTTAAAACTTAAGTAATATCAAAAATTAATTTAGTAACTCATATACAATGTTAATAAAGTAGTTTAATTAAATTTTGAATGTAAGTCTTTAAAAGGTTATGACATGCACACTTTGACCTACCTGTAGCCAGAGGGTTAATCCAAGAAAAGTTGTCAACAAAGCTAGTTTTTAATTACAGGATTAACAGAGGCTAAAGGATTCCTTCATATTACAAGTAAGACTGGTTTAATTACATTTTCAAGTAATGAAGAGAAAAAGTATTTTATGAATCTCAAAGGGACAAGAAAATTCAAAAACAATTTTCTCAGTCTGTTATTACTTTTTTTTCATTACAAAGTCTCTCTACTTATTCATATACACTTCTTACATGGTCACATAATTGTTTTCTAAAAACTATTATCTATAAAAAGCAAGCATACACAATATTGTATAAGCCTATATATTTTGTGTACAAACCCTTAACTTCTGATTTTCTTAAAGTACTTTATTCAGTCTACTTAACCAGTGAAAGAAAAACATGCACCTTTATGCTTTAATAGGTCTATAAATTTTATGCAATGTAATATTATTTTTGTTTATTATGACTACATCTGGTTATTTAATTTGCTAAATTAATCCTGTGCAAAAATTTCACTTTTTGAAATAATAAAATAATTCATAATTAGTTAAATTACCTTTTATCATAAAATGTTATTGCTGCACTTTGTAAAAAAATTAAAATTACTCCCACTGACAGAATTCTGAGGGTGATTACTTCTTACAGAAAAAATTATCGGGAGCACTGTATTACCAGTGTTGATTTTGAACTGTTTAAACAATACTAATGATAAACAATGAATAAATATATTACTCAGTTTCCTGTGCTAAATTACTTTTACCTATTTACTAACTAGAACTTAAGAAAAAAAAATACATGCCCAGGATGCTTAATGTTTGAATAAGTACTACCAAGTAGTTTAATTTTTGAAACTCTTCTACTAATATAACCTTTCTTGATTCTAATTCTACTAACCAGTAAAATAAAAACTGCAAAAAAACAGTATTAATTTAACCAAAAAACAAAAACAAACTATTACTTCAATAACACCATCAGGTTCCATGCCCGGAGGACCATCATATTCTTGTTCCACTCTCCTACCTTCTGACCCATCTCTGAAAAGAAAAACACACCAAGACATTTCTTAGAATAAGTAAAAATGCTTTTACAATACCCATGTTAAAATAGTTTAAAAGCTAACTAGTTTTATGAACCAACAGGAATCAAATATTTCAATTCCTAAATGTTAAATACTAATGAGGAAACATACAGGGAAAAATAATCATTGCATTATATGGTTTGATGTTTTGCTACATGTGAATACCAAGAAAAATTACACTGCAGTTTCTGATTTAGAAACATCTGCATTACACTGCAGTTTCTGATTTAGTCCAGTTTGAGGTCAAAAGGCAAGATTCTGATCAGTGATTTGGCAGAGATAAAAAGTGATGCAAGACAGATTTTGGAAATTAAAAAAAATACTGCTTTGAATTAAGATAGACATGATTTTAAAAAGAAGAAAATGCTTACAGGGAAAACCAAACTCAACTAGCTAAATATGGACATGAAGTAGATAATAAGAGATATACTTTAAGTTTAATATGGCAGAGAGGATGAAAGATTTACAGAAATAAAGGAAAGCTAGGAATTTGGTTAAAATAAACTAACCCTACCAAGACAGGTCTTCCTATGGTCACAGGCCATGTCACCGTGTCTGTAGACTTACATTCAAACTTTTATTGAACTACTATTTTATGAATATATGTCAATAAGTTTGGTATCAAATTGTAGATTATAATTCAAGTTTTAGTATAATCCCTCAGTTAATTTCTAGATTTAAAAGTAAATATTAAAAAGGAAATCCTAAATATAGATTTTTGTTTGTCACATGGTATGTTGAATGCATCATTGCTTCAAATTAGATGTTTATGATGTCAAAATACAAAGTCTATAGTTTATTACGAGTTAGAAACTAAAATTACTGATATTGAGAAGCTAGAATCTAAAATAAGAACCTCCTATATCTTTCATTTGCCGAGATATCGCTACATCTACTGAATCAAACACAGTGGCCCCACTCACCTCTTTCCATTTTTGAAAATGCTTACGTACACCTACTTCTGTCTACCACAAGTGAATAACCAATCGAAAGTTCAGAATGTCCCCCACCTGGTTCTTTGGGCATTTGCGAAGTACTTATGTGAGAAACCATTTCTTTTCAAATATAAGGCAAGTCTTTAGTGAGCTTGGAATTTCATATTTTTTAGACCCAAATACAGCATAGTTACTAAGCTTAATAAATTATATCAAATTCTATGGTCTTGATGTAGTAATTTATGATTTTTTGTTAGTTGAAAATGTATACATAAAACCTAAAATAATTATTCGTTTCACATACTTTACGTGTGAAATTTGTTAAGTCTTAGCAACCTACGGTAAACAGCAATTGCGTTCAAAGTTCATAACAAGAAGAGATAATTATTTTCTATGATTCTTCATTTACTGTTCTATGTTTCAAGAAAAATAACTCAAATTTAAGGACTTATTTTAAAAAGTTATAATCTATATACACATATAATGTATTAAAACTGAAATGCAACTGTATTTTACAAAATACCAGTCCACTAAAACACAGCCAAGACATGTCACTTTGTAAAGGCCAGTTATATATTCTTCGATACGGTAACATGAGTGCACATGCACTGCATCATTGCAACTTTTATAATGTTAGCCAGATACAGCTGAAGGGTCAATATAATAAATATATATAAATGTATAATGTAATGAAATTTAAGCTATTTAGTATTTTCGTGTTATAATTTGTGGTCATTCTAAAATGAAAAAACATAATATATATTTATTTCCTAACATTTTATTGAGCTTATGATGTTGATCTAATGGAACCAAACCATACAGAGATACAGTAGTGAAAATAACATAAATTATAGATTTTTTCTAAAAAATGTTGATAATTATCTGGAGGTTATAAAGATTTTGTATGTGAAATCTGAAAATGTTCAGATACATAAAAGTATTTTTAATCTTAAAATTACTTTGCATGTTCAATAGTCAACATTCTGAAAGACGATATTTTACGAGAAAATCTTAATATTTATTTTTAAAACCTGATAGTTTGTGTATAAAAGCCTTGTAATGTTTACCAACAAGCTGCAAAAGTTTGTAAAGATATGCATACATTATCAAATATCATAATATAATTATTCTCATGGATACTTTCATGATTACAAGCTGGGTGGATTCCACCCAGCCCGTAATGGAAGGGTTAATAGATGTTTAGTCAATAGTACAGCATTGAAAATATGGTAAATTCTTCCAATGAACAATAATGTTTGATAGTATCTTTGGTGTAAATGCCTAAATTTTCTAAAAGATATGTGTAAATTCACTATAAACAATGTTAGGTCACTTGAGCAAATGTTCTTGACACCCACAAACACTACAGTATACAGGTCAGGTAATCTTGAGGATGAGCTTTTAAACACTTTAACTTTTCCTGATATTATTTCTAAGGCTTTCTGTATCCAAACAATCAATTTACTCTATATTACGTTAACTTGGATGAAAACCTTCATCACTATAGACTGCAGCTATCTCTGTAAATTGACTGTTATTTGCATAAAAAAAAATTTTTTCTGCCCTCAAAAAAGAATGGAAATTATTAATACTAATTAGACGAAAACACAAAATAAGTATTTACTATTTATAAAATTAAAAATGCAAGTTAAAATGAAAATACAGTATCCTTAAATTTCTTGATGAGTTTTGAACACAATTGATTAAGAAATGAATCAGTTTATAATATATATTATGTAGGACCTAGTCAATTAGCAACAATAACCATTAACACATCATAGTCAGAAATACTAATAATAATTAATAGTAAAAAGTCAGAGTAGCTTCAAAACAATCTAATTTACTTTATAACATCTAATATTTTATAATTATATATCTAAATATGAAACAGTAGCCAAGAAGTAAATTAAAAAAATCACAGCGTCAGATATTTTGTTGTTTCCAGTAGGCGTGATTGTTTTAACGCTGCTACTAGTAGTAGTACTATTACTATCTCATGGTGATGACTTTTAAGTTTTACCAATTAAAATGTCGCTAAACTAAATTTAAAGGCTGGTTATAACTTATATACATAGTGTTCTGATCTGAAAATCTTATTCCTTTTATAAAGATTAATTTCTAATTTATTCGGATTTTCTTATATTAGTAAATTATTTAATTAATACTTTGCAAAAATGAAAACTATGAACGCGTGATATTACATAGAACCACTTGGTAGAAATAACATGTAATACCAGTAGCAGTCCAGACATAGCCTAGGCTATATAACATATGGCAACAAGCCACGTGCTCACGACAAAGGCTTTCAAACGTGTATTATCCTTCGCCATATTGCCAATGTCACTGAACTAAACAGGTGGTGAATGACAAACTTACCTTTTTACATAACTGTTTCAACGCTATAAATTAAATACATCTTTGTATTTAAATTAATATAAAGTGCTATAAAATAACAATTATCCAAATTTACTTCCTCTTTTTAAAACTACCAAATTCACTTACTTTTCATCGAAGTACGACATGACCACATACAGCCCAAAGTTACATGAAAAGGAAAGAGGTTTAGGACTATTTTGTTCATACCTGTATCATTACGCAGAGTTAACAAGTAATAAAAAATATAATAATAAAGTTATTTGCGATGTAAAAAAACAAATAGCACTTTAATTAGCAAAATACTATTGGTATAATGAAGGAAAATCATCTCTCGTTTATTTCAAGCCCGAATAACAATATTATCTTCAAAACAGAGATCCATGAAAAAATTAAATTTATTTAAGTTTACATCAAAAATGGACGAAATAAATTCCCATGAGTGTATGTTTTACTCAAAGCAAAGCCACATTCGGTTATCTGCTGTGTCCACCGAGGGGAATCGAACCCCCTGAGTTTAGGGTTGTAAATCCAAAGATTTACCGCTGTCCTACCGGGGGACACGCCCATGTGTATTTCCATGAAAAGTGAAAAGTATTATCGCTGTTAAACTTTACAAAAAATTGACAATTCTCAGAAATATGAAGCAGAAATGGAACAACACATCTAAATTAGAAAATAATGTTAATAATTTACATCTCACAGTAGCTGTTAAATCCGTGTATATGCTATGGGTTTATTTAGAAAACAAAAGTTAGGCGTTTATGAAAAGGACTACCTGAGCTAAGTCCACAGCCGTCCCCGTCCAGGTGGGGGAAGGCCCACAACCTGTAAACACAGTAACCATCTCAAAACTCAGGACATTGCCTTGAAGTTTGAATGCGATGTTCTGGCTGATTACGGCTTATGAATGTACACCGAACTTTGTCATTTATATTTAAATAGTATTATTTTCTAATACATTTTAAAAATAAATTTTCTTCTGAAATCCCGGGGGGGGGGGGGCAAACGCTCTCTTGTCCCATCCTGCGGGCGCCCAAGGCTAAGCCATATATATATATATTACTTTGGAGATTGCAATTAAGATATATCTAATTAAGATAATGAACACATAATTCTTCCTCCAAAAGCTATAAATTCATTCGATCATCAGAGATAATGTAATCTTAGTTATTTAATACAACTTAGATATAGTTCGCCTAACACTAAAAATAAAATTCATCTGTATTCAAGTCTCGTTATCAACAGTTATATTAATAGTTAATGTAATCTCACAACAGATGAAATGCTTGACCTTAAGGCTCTCAGAACTATGCTGACAAAGATCATCGTAAATTTATTTGTTCTATCGCATTTCATGCAAAGTTACTCGAGGGCTATATGTTTCAATCATGTAAGAAAGCTTGTATCTCTACTTTTGCCATAGCATCACCATATGACTGATGATTTTCTCACTATATTCGTCAACTGTGGCATACCACTCGGCCAGCAAACGATGTTGCAGTAATTGACACTTTCAACATGAATGTGTCATAACGTACCTTCAGGCAGAGTACATATTACATTGTATGAATAATGTTACGACAGCAGAAGTCACGTGACGCTGGTAACCCGTCATGAGTTTCTAGAAGGATCATGACTTTTCCTGGCAACTCTAGTCTTTTCTAGGCGCACTCTATTTTAGTATATAAACCCGGCAAATAAAGCGGAAATATAATTGCAGAAGGACAGATAGAGAGACAGACAAGTGAGTCAAGCGAGTGGTAGTGACTGTAAGTAAAGTGCGTGAATCGTTGTGAATTGTAGCGTGTGTTTAAGTTAACGTGACTGTGGAAATTAAGTGTATTACAAAGTTTGTAACGAGAAAGAATAAACTAGTTTTAATCAAAAGGGACTTGTGTCGCTGAAGTCACTCAGAAATAATTTTTACCGGAATTATCAAACAAGCGGATACATAACAAATTGGTGTCAGAGAGTGGGATTAAAAAAAAGAGAAAAAAAAGAGAAGAAGATGGAAACGAGAAGTGGCAAATCAAACTACAGCTTAGGTGATTTGATGGCAGTAATAAGAACAGCAAAAGAAACAAGAAGAACGAGAAGATAAACAAGAAAAGAGACAACAGCAATAGCAAGAAAACTTGCAACAGTGGCAGCTCGAACAGCAAAATAAACAAGATATATTACAGCAGTTGTTGGAGGAAAAAGAAAAGAAACATATGATAAGCCAGCATTAGAAGAATACTACCAATAAGTCAGCTTCGGGAAACCAGTAGTGGTTGGTGCTGAGGGATGCCCACCAACCCCCATTGTAAAAGTCCCAACAGCTAAGTGTAAAATGGTAAGCACACATAGTGTCTACGTGACAGGAAAGCTGGATGGCAAAAGGTGCAACCTTGTCATAAATTCTGCATATCAGCAAATCCTTGTGAGCATCAAGTGCTGGATCACAAAGGAGTACCAGAAGCCATACAGAAGCTCTGTGGTGTGACAGGACATTATGCACGGTTGTGGGGACCAGTGTGGGTAACTATTGAGCTCATGGGTATGAAGAACAGACAGAAAGTATACTTGGCTGGCATTGAAGACCAATACATATTAGGGTTGGACTACTTACTACCGAGGAAGTGTGCAGTTAACTTCGATAAAATGACGATTGAGAACAACAAAGGCCAACTTCCAGTAAGTGGTGCTGCTTCTGTTGATTTACATGTCACAGCACTTAAGTCAACTACAATACCCCCTATATCAGAGAAGCTAATTTAGGGTAGAACAAAAGAACATCCCCAAGGAAGCCTGATGCTTGTGGAAACAGTGGAAGACCCATCCAGGCCAGCAGATTTGAAGATTGGAAGGTCACATATGGCAGGTCATCAAGTAGTACCCATAACATTGGCTAATTTCTCTAAATGTGATCAGACACTTAAGGAAGGGGCATTGTTGGGTGTGTGTGCCAGGAGGTAGAACCAGTCAATGTTAAGGCAAGAAATACGACCATAAAGAAAGGACGTCCTCTCCCAGAACATTTAACTGACCTCTATAAGAAGAGTATAGTCCATTTGTCATCATCACTGGTTCTTCAGGTTAGAGAACTCTTGGCGAATTATGCAGACGTCTTTTCAAAAGGAGAACATGACCTCAGCTGCACAGACCTTGTAGAGCACAGAATAAACACAGGCAATCACCGTACAATAAAGATCCCTCCGAGGAGAATAGCTCCAGCAAAGCGACAAGAGATGGAGAAGGTCATGGATGGCCTAACTAAGGAAGGAATAGTCGAGAAATCAGATGGTCTCTGGTCAGCTCCCATTGTGTTAGTCCAGAAGAAGGATGGAACCCAACGTTGCTTTGTGGACTTCAGGGCTCTTAACAGTATAACAGAAAAAGACTGATACTCACTGCCAAGAATTGATGATACTCTCTAAGTGGAGCCAGGTGGTTTTCAACTCTAGACTTAAAGTCGGGTTTCCATCAAGTGAAAATGGCTGAAGCAGATAAAC